ATGGCTCTTAACTAATGTTGTGTAAACACAGAGTAATTTTGAAGGTGGAGACTCATAATGATCTTTGCAAAATGCAATTTGCTTGCTGATATTCATAAGACTTGATCCATTAAACGCTTCTTGATTTAAAAAAATGGAATTTGCAAAAATATATCACAAGCCAACAAGTATATAATACATAGATAATTACCAAGTGTGTCTGCTATAAAATATGACAAAATTTCTGAATAAAAAACATGGTAACTTCTCAAATATCATCAGAAAGATTATCACTAGTACTAGTGTTATCCATAGAAAGGACTTAGTGTAAACAGTTCTCAGTTTACCCATTCTAAAAGTTAGTCAGGATATGCAGGTTTATTTTAAGCATGTAAACCTGCTCTCCCGTGTTTATACAATATATTCTAATCCTGGCAACCAATGAGTTTTAAATTACTGTCTATGGGCTCTTTCCTGAGCTGAGTATCTGGAATTGATTGTCTTTCTGCTCCCAGCCATCAATGGGATCTTTCAACTCTTGAATTGTGGGTAAATTTCTGAATTTAGCTAAAAGACCTCATGATGAGGGAGAAAGTGATATGCTCTTTCGGAATGGATAGATTTCAGATAAGTATAGAGAGTTGTCTCTAAAATCTGCACAGGAGATGGCCTATATGCAGCTTTAGAGGCACAAAATTTAAATCCAGTCAAAGATGACAGATTGAGATATTTGATCTCGACCCAATCAATAAACAGTAATGAAGGCTATTAGTATTCAAGTTGAGTAGTAATTTGAGTTGAAATGAAAGTAGGATGTTCAAGAGGGTAATTTTAATCCCATGTGTAATGAAATAGACAGAGGAGAAAAAATTCAGAAGAGGCACTGGGGAGTCTATGGGACTAATCATGAGGTGGTAAAGGGCCAGCATGACCAAAGTGAGAAGGGGAATAAAGCGCTTATTCTGGGAGACATTGTTAAGGAAAATGTTTAAAATATATAAAATATTGACCAAAGTGCTTGAAGGGATGAGCCAGGCAAGAGTTCTGCTGTCTCTGCCACCAAGACAAGAAACATAACAGAGGTATGAACAGAATCTGATGGTTGAGGAGAGAAATAAGATTTGGTGAAGGGTGACGAGTTCAGGAGAGGTGATCAAGGGACACCCAAGTGAGATGCCCTGCAACCAGCTGCAAGCCCAGAACTAAACATCAGAGGCAGAGATTTTGATGACTGAGTCATCCTTTTTTTCCCCGCCGAGACTCGTGGAAAGGACTCTTGGAGTTCTTTCTCTCCCAAAATATCTCCCAAGAGTATTCCATGGGGCATGACAGATTCATAGGATTCCCTCCCATTATTGGGAGTTAGAAACAATGAGATCTACAACAAAGAATTATCTGAAGGGAAATTTATACTGTTAGTTCCTCATAAGTAACCCTGGAGGAGACAAAGAGATAGGATTGATAAAATGTCACAGCAATGGCCTCCACACTGGAACATTCCACTAGCCTCGTATCAATTTCATAATTTCTTTCCACTCCCCTACTCCACACAGCCATGTACTTCCCTTTAACATGTACATTATATAAATACATCATTATCCATAGACTCAGCCTCTCAACAACACTCTGGGGCAGCATATAGTACCCAGGATATTTAAAACATGCACCAAAATACATAAGATATATCTTCTATGAAGAAACAGGCCATTGAAAGTACTCCCAGAACATTTCTCTCTGGCTGAGCTAAAGAGGGGGCCAGTGAATGAATGTCAAGGTCACAGATTGATTGGTCAAAATATAGAAAATATAGAAAAAGGCAAAGTTCATTTATTAAACTATAATCTTGATACCAGAGAATTTATTTAAAGGGTTTAGGCTAAAACACCAAAGACAATAATGCAATAATGCAATTATTGCAATTGCAATAAGGCAATAATGACATCTGAAGTTCAATAGTCAATATCAAGCTAGGATGCTTTAGGAGAGTGAATAGACTTAGGATGCATTAGAGTCTTCTAGCTGGCCTCCCGAGCAACAAGGTTCCCAGCACACTGTGAGAGGGGCAAGTGAATGGGTGTGGATCAACCTTCCGCAAACCAAGTGTGCCAAACATCCTGCTTAGATGTGGCATATCTAGACCACAACTTCCCTTTCCTATTGACAAACCAGTACATTAATGGTCCTCTCTCATCAAGCTCTAATTTACCTTACAGTCTCAGGCAATATCTTCTCTCTGGCACCCACTCTGTATCTTGGCCATATGGGACCATTTGATATGTCATGTGTGTTCCCCACAATTTTCTCGTCCATCACTTTATTTACATTCCTCTTCTATCTTGAATCCACTTTCCATTCCTCCTATTTATGTCAAAATCCTCCTTATCTTTAACTCCACACTGTCATCCCAATAATATTCTCTTCTAATCTGTGATCCCCATCATATTTCTTTTATATCTTATGACTTTTGTTTCATATGCCAGTTATTTATTTACTTGGCTTATCTTCTCTACAAGAATCTATGAGAAGAAAAATATTTCATTTAATTGAGCCTATCATCCCAAATGCTGAACTTTGACATCTGGCCTCATACCAAAGTGCTCTGCTTTTTCTTTCTTCCTGTTATTTTCTTTTTCCTTTATTCCTGTTTTGATGTTCTCTTTTCTTTTTTTAAAATTTTTTATTTATTTATGATAGTCACACAGAGAGAACGAGAGAGAAAGGCAGAGACACAGGCAGAGGGAGAAGCAGGCTCCATGCACCGGGAGCCCGACGTGGGATTAGATCCCGGGTCTCCAGGATCGCGCCCTGGGCCAAAGGCAGGCGCCAAACCACTGCGCCACCCAGGGATCCCTTGATGTTCTCTTTCCTTTGCTTCAATTACATGATTCTATTCAGCCTTAAATGGCTGTCCCTAGCTGCTATGTATCACATCAAAAACTAGCCTCCTCTACCTGACTTCCAAGGTCTTCCAAAATTTAAATCCACCTTTCCTGTTCAGTTTTGTTTCTTCCTACTCCCAGAAGGCAACTCTCTTCACTATTCTAAGAGAAGGTCAAGTTCATTTCAGTCAGGCTAAGATGCCAGATAAAGGGAACTAAATACTATGATATTCTTGGTAAGTTAAGTTGGTCTAACTGGAAAAATTTTCTACTTTAGCAGACTTACTGCTCAGGCTGCTACCCTTTGGTGCCATAAACAGCTAGTCAGGGCACTGCGTCCTCCTGTCTAGGAATTTCCTGATCCTTAACTATCGGTAAGATTGGGTCTCTCTCTTGCCTTCAACATAGTACCTGTACTTCCTGAATAGTTCTATCCCATCACTCTGCTCCAATATTAGGCATATTCTCTATACCAAGCTACTTATCTGGCTCTGATTCCCTTCTCTGCCTTAACTTCACACTTCCCCCAACCCTGGTCCATCACATCTTACGGCTGATCTCATCTGTTCTCTCTCAGCTGCAATGGTTCTCATTGACTCAGCATCTATGCCCAGTCAGTCAACACCAAAGTCTCAAACTGTAACAATTCCCACTTTCCACAGTTCCCCTCTCTATGACTTGGGCTGAATTATGTCCTCAGAAAAGCCATGTTGAAGTCCTAATCTTTACCCCTCAGATTATGATCTTATTTGGGAGTAGGACTGCTGCAGATGTAGTTAGTTAAAATGAGGTCATAGTGGAATAAGGTAAGCCCTTAATCCAATATGCCAAGTATTCTTATTCAAATGGGAAATTTGAACAGACACACACATAGGGGGGACCCATGTGAAGACAGAAATTGGAGTGATGCAGCTACAAGCCAAGGAATGCCAAGGATTGACTGTTACTACCAGAGGCTAGGAGAGAAGCATGAACAGCTTCTTCCTGAGAGCCCTCAAAAGGAATCAACCCTGCCAACATCTTGATTTGGGACATGTAGCCTCCAGAAATGTGAAAGAGGAAAAAAAAAAACAGAAAAGAAAAAAATGTCTTTTGGTGTTAGGACCTTCAGAAAAACCAAAACAGCAACTCTCAAGACCATTACAGATTATTCCAGCCTACTAATAATAGGATGGCTAAAGAGATCAATGTGAGCGTGCCATGTGCCCAGGCAACACATGCAGCCAGTGTCCTATCTGTGTCTGATACAAATCTGCCATTTCACATCAGTGGACTTCACTCAGAAGCCTGTATTTTGTTTTCATTCATTCTTAGTGTGAAAGGTGATTGATATTGTGTGTGTAATGAACTTTACAACCATAATAATCAGCTGGACTTCAGCTGATGATCAGGAAATACTGCAATAAAATAAAGACCAGATGACTGCACTATCTTTAATCTGGTATTTATTACCTTCTTCCTTCCAAAACATGTCTCCTATAATTTAGTCCTTATTCTAAATGTTTTTTGCTTGTATATGACTTTTCATTGTAGATCCTAGATAGACTTTGGGAATCATGAAGAGAGAGAGACAGAGAAAAGGCAAGAAACAGAGGCAGTAACAAAGAGAGAACTAGTAACTGAGTAGTGTTGCCAGATAAAAGACAAATCCATTTTTAGTAGAAGTTCCAAATCTTGCCTGGGACACTCATGCTAAAAACGTATTCATTGGGATCCCTGGGTGGCGCAGCGTTTTGGTGCCTGCCTTTGGCCCAGGGCGTGATCCTGGAGACCCGGGATCGAATCCCGCGTCGGGCTCCCGGTGCATGGAGCCTGCTTCTCCCTCTGCCTGTGTCTCTGCCTCTCTCTCTCTCTCTCTCTCTCTCTCTCTGTGACTATCATAAGTAAATAAAAATTTAAAAAAAAATTTTTAAATAAATAAAAACGTATTCATGATTTCAGATATGAAATTCATATATATATATTTTTTATTTATGATAGTTACTGTTGTTACTCAGGCGTGGATACAGGATTCATTTGCCTGAGCCACCAATAGTCGCAATGCAGTTTGCAACTCCCGAGAGTTACAAACAACAGGAATTAACAACAAAAACTATCCAATAGCATCAACTCTTAAATGAAAACAAGATCAAAAATCCAAACCTTTGTTGGTGGCTGGTCAGGAATGCAGTTGATCCGTTCTGCTTCATCTACCACCGGGCACACAGCAGAATCAGGGGTGGTACTTGCTGTCCCAGGATCTGGGGTAACTACTGTCCCAGGATCTGGGGTAATCCCAAAAACAAACATAAAATGACCATCAGACAGATTTAACATTATAAGCATTTGATATGGGACACCTGGCTGGCTCAGTGGTTGAGCATCTGTCTTCGGCTCAGGGCACGATCCTGGAGTCCTGGGATTGAGTCCTGCATCAGGCTCCTTGCAGAGAGCCTTCTTCTCCCTCTGCCTATGTCTCTGCCTCTCTCTCTCTCTCTCTCTCTCTCTATGTCTCTCATGAGTAAATAAATAATTTTTTTAAAAAAGTAAGCATTTAATATGATTGTCACAGTTCTCAATACCTCCAAGTCTATGAAGTATATGAACTCTACTACTCCAAGTATATGAATTCTACTGCTGATTGGGCTTCACCCTGATGTCCTTGAAATGCACACATTCACTTTAGAAAGCCTCATTCTGTTCATGCTAACTGTATTTACCTCTGTGTATATTGCATCCTCTTCTTCCACCACCAACACCCTTTTTGAGATGGTTCACATAAGAGCAAGGAGTTTGGCATTACCATTAGATCAAAAGTTCACCAAGGCAAGAACCAAATCTACTTTCTCTAGTCCAGGAGTCAGCAAACTATTGCCCATGGGCCAAATCAGGTCACAGCCTGACTTTTAAATAAAGTATTGCTGGAACATGGCTACACCCACTTTTTAATGTATTATCTATAGCTGCTTTTGTGCTACAATGGCAAAATTGATTAGTTATGAGAGACCATATGGCCTGCCAAATCTGAAGCATTAAGTACCTGGCCCTTCACAGAAAAGTTTGCAGACTTCTCTGGTCCTTTACTTACACCCCCAGCAGCTGGTTACAATATGTTTGCACATAAAACATGCCCAGTGTGTGCTGTCTTGAACGTTACCACCCTAATCAGAGTAACCTCAATTCTGGTTGCTCCGTCAACAGGCATTCCCTCAACAGGAACACTTCTGAGTGATATTCTTATGTAAACATAAAGTCTCGTATCTCAAAAATGTAAAGGAAGGCCACCAATCTAAAAATTGGCAGTTAGGAACTGCCCAAGGGTCTTGATTCAGATGTTAAAATTAGTTAAATAAAAAGCACACATTTATTACATTCTAAAATAAGGAAGTGAGAGTTCTTTAAGTTACTCTGTGGTAAATTAATAAGGACATTAAGATAGAACAATGAGGCTTTTAATTAGTTTTCTAATTTCTTTTCCAATTTAAAAGTGATGGATTAAGAGGACTTCAATATTGTGCCACTTTCTGCATGAGGATTTTAGTTGCATCTTCAAGATCATGGAATTTTAAGAGTTAAACCATCTTTAAGATTATTTGATCTAACTCCTCACAAAAGTAGAAATTGTCAGGGCTGGGACAGAGGGAGTGGGAGCAGAGAAGTCTTCTTCTAGCCATAAACTGACCCTTCATCACTTGGTTCACAGAAGCTGTTCCTAGATGAACCAGATAAGAAATCAGGGATAACTGAGCACAATCCAGCCCGTTTCTGAATAAGACAATTCAATAATTGTCTAATTAAAGAAGTCTGGTAGTTACCACTTTCTTAAAAACAGAACTTTCACCTAAAATACTTTGATTATATAGTTATTCGATTGCCTTGCATGTAAGAGATAATTAGTTAATAAAGGTTAATAATGTTGTTAATGAAATGAGAGTTCATCAATGCAATTCAGCAAATTTATGTCAAGAGTCAGTTGTGGAATCCGGCAATGTGTTAACTGGGAAATAAAAGTATCAGCTTAGTCGTACAGTGAATACCTAATGAGTTGCCACAAGCCACAGTTCCAGTCAGGGGCTCACCAACACACATATAACATCTCTCCCCCCCCCCATAAACACACAGACGCATTCACACCAATGGACAGGAGACCATCACTTCCCTGCCATTTATGAGGTTTCTACTCTGATAAGAGCAACACATAGAGAAGAACATCAGAGTTCCTTGTTACCTTTTGATTCCAAAGAATCTTGAGCTGAAAGCACAAACAGAGGAATAGTGATGATAAACACCATAAGTAGAAGAACACTGAGCATAAGCTCCAAAGTCGTGAAATCTTTCCACTTCCTTCTTGCCATCTGCAAAAAAAAAAGAAAAGAAAAGGCGGTGTGGGGAAACAATTTTAGATTTGAGTTTCATTTAATTTAGTAATTTTGTAATGGACAAGCTCAAATGTCACTTAAGTAAAATGAATAACTAGCAAACACTCAGGTACACATCCATCATCTAGATTAAAAAATTATCAATTCATGACAATCTTGTTTTGTCTTTATTCCTACTTCTCTCCCTAACCTTAGATTATTTTAAAGCAAATCTTAGATACTTTTGAATCTGAAAATATCTAAGTATTGGGGCATCTCATTGGCTTAGTTATAGAACATGTGACTATTGATCTCAGAGTTGTGAGTCTGAGCACCATGATGGGTATAGAAATTACTTAAAAATTTACTTTCAATATTTAAGTATTAAAAAATAAACTTCATGCAACCCAATCAAGATATTGTTAGAACACCAAAGGTATTTTTAATTTTTAATCATCAAATATCTAGTCAATGTTGAAATTTCTCTCATTGTCTAATATTTTATAATTTGTTCTACTTTCATCAGGATGCAAGCAAGATTTATATATTGTAATTGGTTTGTGTCTGTTAAGTGTTTTGTTGTTGTTTAGAGAGAGAGCGCATATGCACTTGCATGAGCCTGGGGTAGAAAGTAGGGCCGAGAAAGAGAGAGAATCTTAAGCAGGTTCCGTGCCCAGCATGGAGCCCAACGGGGGGCTCAATCTCAAGACCCTGAGATTGTGACTTGAGCCACAATCAAGAGCATGACACTTAACCAACTGAGCCACCCAGGGTCCCTCTGTTAATCTTCATTAAATCAGTAGGTTTGTTCTGTAGATTTCCCCATAGTCTGGATTTTGTCAATTGCGTCTGTGGATATACTAATATGTTTTTCTACCCTTATGTTTCCTGCAAATTTAATTACCAGATCTAGAGTTTTGGCAGATATAGGTCTTTTTAGCAAGAATGGTGCATAGCTCATATACAATCTTCTGGCAAGAGACACATAAAATCTAGCAGATTCTCCCTTTTTCATATTAATAGCCATTGGTGAGTATATTTCTTAGATCCATTATTTCACTAGTTGTGACAGTGATACTGTAATTATACCATTCCTTATATACTTGATGAAATATTACTATAGAGAAAAACTTCCCCTCATCTGTTATTTGGACATAAAGATAAAATTCATATACGGAAGGTAGGATAAATGTTTGACCCTATTTTCTGGGTTTCAGAATAAGGAGTTGTTGCCCTAACACCCTTGAAAGAGGACCAGTGAGATTATTTGCCCAATATATTTGTGAAGTTATGGATTTAAACACATCTTATCTGTACTAATCCATTGATATTATTATTATCATTAATGCTCATTCTGTCTCATCTGTACCTAGTGGGAGTCTCTTCAGATTGGTTCCTAGTAGTCTTTGATAGTTTCCTTATTCTCTGTTATAACATGAAGATCTAGGCTTATTTTGTACATCCCCTTCCCCCAGACTCAAATCAAACATCTCTAAGGAGGCTTTGTTTTTGTTTTTTTTTTTTCCAGTGGGAACAATACTCAGAATCCACAGTTTCTTTTTTTTTAATTTTTTTTTAATTTATTTATGATAGTCACACAGAGAGAGAGAGAGAGGCAGAGACATAGGCAGAGGGAGAAGCAGGCTCCATGCACCGGGAGCCCGATGTGGGAATCGATCCCAGGTCTCCAGGATCACGCCCTGGGCCAAAGGCAGGCGCCAAACCACTGCGCCACCCAGGGATCCCCAGAATCCACAGTTTCAGTGAGAGTTGGTGAATTCTACAACTAAAGATACCTAAAGGATCATCCTGACCAACTGGCTACCTTTGGAGTCCCAGGGAGAATTGTCAATTTAAAAAAAAATACAGAAATAACACATTTATTACCTATGTTATGGTCATTATAAATCCTAGCTGGGGATTAAATTATTTTGCCAAGAAGTTTAAATCAGATGTTCAGCACTTGCCTACTGTCTCAACCTCAGTGAATCTAAATCTCTGGGGTTAAGGCTTGGATATCTGATTTTTTTTTTTAACTCCACAGATAATTCCAATATGCAACTATGTTTCAGAAACAGTGACCCTATCATGGTCTTATAAATCGTAAAAATGCATTTTATCAGGTAAAAATATATTAAGAAATGGTATCTATAAAGTTAAAAAAAAGAAAAAAGAAATGGAACCAATAGTCAAGACCCTCCATTTTATGCATAAGTAAAGTAAGGCATGGTCAGTCAAGTGTCTTTTTCAGAGCCACCTAGTCAAAAACTAGAACCAAATTTCCCAAAAGGCTGAATGTAGTTCCCTTTGGTTACTGTATCTCTCCTGGCAACTTTTGGTGGGCCCCTCATGGACAGAACATGCTTGAGCCTACCACAACTTGGTCTTCAACAACTCATCTCAACCTATCTTATTCCTGACCCCTTCTTCCAATCAGCTCCTGATCTCCATCAGATTTGAGTCAAAGGGGGTGCCTGGGTGGCTCAGCGGTTGAGCATCTGCCTTTGGCTCACATCATGATCCTAGGACCCTGGGATCAAGTCCCATATCAGGCTCCCCTACAGGGAGCCTGCTTCTCCCTCTGCCTTTGTCTCTGCCTCTCTTTCTCTCTATGTCTCTCATGAATAAATAAATAAAATATTAAAAAAAAAGATTTGACTCAAAGTATTGCATTCCAGTTTGTAAAGAACTTGATATGTACCAACCAACTACTACTATAAACTGCCTTGGAACGAAGTATTCTTCTCCTCAAAACATCTAACTTCCAGAACTTCTGACCACAGAACTTCCCACACAGAAGTTGGTGGCCTCCCCCTGTGGAGTCTGACACAGCAGCATGTGATCCCCTGCTCACTGCTTCCTGCCAAACACACCACACACTGAGATCAACAACGAAGCTGGTCTTTTGGGGGGTGCTAAATGCAGACAGTATTTTAAGTGAAAATTTGTGTCTTAAAGACTCATAGAATTCAAATCTTAAAATCATTCTCCTTCATATTCAGAGGTCCGGGACAAAGAATGCCTTGAAATATCTTCTCACTGACAAGGAAGGATGATGGAAAGTCAACCTTCACTCATTGAACCTGCTAACACTAAGGGAGACGGTGCCCAGAGAGCAGCTGAACTGCTCCCAGGATGGATACTGATACCATAAGTCTAGGTATGGAGCACAGCAATATGGCAAATGTTTGAATAAAAATAAGATACCACCTTCCTAAGGGTGAATATGATGAACAAGACAGAAACAGGACCTGAAGGAGGAAAGGAAAAAACTCATAGCTGTTAAAGCCTGGACCACCGCAACTGGCAATGTCACTGGGGCCTTTGAGCAGCTTCCCTTAGTCCTACCACAAATGCACAGACTACATTTAAGGTTTTCTTCCAATAAGGAGTTAGGCACTGTGTACCCATTCAGATGACAATTATGCCTCACAAACAGTCCTTTCTAGAAATCTGCCTCAGTGTCTGCATTGCAGGATTCTGTCCTTTGTTAGGGATAATTTTGATTCTGGCCTGAGCTGTGGCACCGTCCTCCAGCAGTAGCAAGGAAGATGACTCCGCTATCACCCACTCCGTATCCTTCCCAGGGTTGTCCCAGATGCCACTGTATTTACCACCTCCTTCTTCTGACCCACTACTACCATTCTTTAGAAAGTGTGTCCTTTGCAAGTTAACATTCTGTATACTCTGTCAAACATTGAGTAAATCATATCTTTCAGTCACTTGTGTCAAATTCCAACAGCATTTTATTAGATAACATTTGCTGTCTTTGAAAAGGAAAGCTCGACATTTCATGCCATTAGCTGAGCTAAGTTTTGAGAATCACTGAAATATCCTGTTTACCTAAGATAGCAACATCCTATTCTGATTGCATTCTATATATGCAACAATACTGAGATACTAGAATGACCAGGCTAATTTTCCATTATACCGTGGATGATGAAAGGACTGAGGTGTTACGTGGTTTTTAAAAAAGATTTATCTATTCATTTTAGAGAGGGAGGTGGGGCAGAAAGAGAGGGAGCAAGAGAAAATCTCAAGCCGACTCCGCACTGAGTGTGGAGCCCAACGTGGAGTTCAGTCCCATGACCCATGAGATCATGACCTGAGCCAAAATCAAGAGTCAGATGCTTAACTAACTGAGCTACACAGGCTCCCCTATGTGCTCTGTGTTTTAATGACACTCTCCCAAGGCTTAGGACAAGTCTGTGGCACAATTAGGGATGCTGACTTCCGCCTTAGAGATTGTCTTTATGACCTCACTGCCTCTTAGGTAAAGGCAACACTCTTTCACATTTTGTGTGAGGATGTTCATCTATAGGAGCAGACACAGCACTTTTTCAAAAGCATGAGAAACTACATAGAGCCATATTGTAATGCAGAAATGTGTCATTAAACAGAAAGTGAAGCTGACAAGTCACAATCAATACATCGATCAGCATGGAGAGAAAAACGTCTCTTATAAGATCTTCCATAGAAGAAGTAAACAAATCCATTGTCAAGTTGGATGGTGTGACGGAATGATTTCTAAAGTGAGTTTCATTGATCTAACTAGCTCCTTGTATCCCCTTGAGCAATAGGAGACTGCACATCAGCAGAATCTGGAATCAGACGTAGTGAGGAGTGTAAAGTCAAAGGGAAGAGGAGCAGAGCAGAACTGCCTCCACGAGTGGGGCCATTGGTTTTGGGGCCTCACAATCTTGTAATGCCATCACTTTCAAGACTAAATGGTACCACTACGGTCTAATTCTTAGTAATAATTATAGCTAATGTTTTGAGGTTTCTCTATCCAGTATTTTCCAGACATTACTAGTTATCTTTATAATCCCCAAATGCAGGTATTATTCATCTCTATTTTATGAGTAAGGAAACAGAGGTCAGAAAGGTATAAAGCTTATCAGCAATGATAAATATTGGAGCTGAAATTCACTCCCAGTCTATGCTCCAAGGCATACTTCTCTTCAGAACTATAGCAAAGCCCACACCCTCTCCCAACC